AACTTCGCGTGACCTTCCAGTCCTTTCATTGCAAAGGTTAAAAGTAGGTCCACGTGGGAACTGAAGGGACCCTGCTACTCGACATCGGCCATGTGAAGGTGGTATTGTGTTTTCCATTTCGTGACGCCTCGCTTATTCCTCGAAATTTGTGGTCAACCCAATCCACCACACACGAGGTTAAACATGATACAGCATTGCGCACCAGAAAAGCCACGGTGTCACTGATCGCGAACCGACAGCATTTCGTACTGTTCTTGCTTTTCATTGATATCGTTTGCGCGACCGCGTGAGATATTGTCTGTTTCGGAGCTGACTTTGTTTAATTAAGGCCGCAAATCACTAAAATGAAATTTTCATTCGCGCTGCTGCGGCTGTTGTTGAGACAGCACGTCGTCACCGCGCAGGACAAAGCTCTTGGACTAAGTTCTCAAAACACGTCGTCTATAGCTCAAGGCCTGACCACACGAACGCGTCGCAGCGCGTCAGCACGCGTCTTCTTGACACGGCACCTCTCCTTCTCCCTATTGCACAGTTTCGCGTAGCCACCACACCCTCTCACTGCATAAAGACAACGCGCCGGGCCAGAAAGCCATGCTCTGACACGTTGCAACGCGTACATGTAGTCAGGCCTTAACGACCCTGTCGCCCTCGTGGGAGTAGCCGGTTGTCACGGCTACTCCCACGTGGGCGACACTCACTCATTCACTCGTTGGATTAAAGAGCACCCTCTACAACTCTAGGTGGTGTTGGATTCAACAAGCCACAAGCCACCTGCTGAACCGCTGCAGCCTAGACACTTGTCACGCCGTACGAAATGTGTTGTCAGAGCGCCGCCACAGTAGTCTAGTGCCGGCTTCTCACCCGAAAGTGGCAGGTTCGATGCCGACCACGATTGTCGAACTTGGACGGCGTCGACGTGGTAGAGGCTCGTGTACCGTGCGATTTCAGTGGGCGTTAAAGAACCAAGATGGCCTAAATATTACGGAGCCCACTACCACGTCGTCTCTTCTAGCCACACAAACCAACCAACCAACCATACTGGGTTGGTATTTCACATTGTCAGTCATTCTTTAACGAATCATAGAAAATATCCACTTCAGCGACCACATGCTCACATCGAGCCTTCCATGTATGTGAACCGACAAGTTCTTTTTGGAAGCGGCCCTTCAACGCTTTTTCAGCGTGGTCAGAAAAGGCTGCCAATCGGCAGTCGAATCGCCCAAGAAGATGTGGGCCAAACCCCAAACATTGCGGGGCAACACGCGTCCTGGTGTTTGCAGTTCCCAAAGTGAGCTAGAAATTGTTCACTCTTCTCCCGACAAATCATGCCATAAGCCTATAGGCGACGGTACCATAAACCCAATTTCCACGGCCATCGGCTTATTTTAGCAGTGCGAGCTGCATATTTATCGCGGCCAGCGTGAGATGCCGCCACTTACCCGCACGTGCACTTGTGATCACACCGGAAGCCGCACACTCCAGAGGAGAGAGAAAGCACTTAAATCGTGCGGTAAATTCCCGCAACTCCGCTCATGGTTGACGGGTTCTAAAAATTTTCGTGGGTTCCAAGAACGTGGTTTGTGGGCAATAAATCCCTTCGTTATGAAGCCATTCGATGATTACTTTGAAAAGTATTGCAGGGCCCTTTTGAAAGTTTGAAAGTCTGTTGAACAAAAGTTGACTGATTGAACACGTAGAGCTCTCTTTAAAGTTTGTTGTTTGAACACGTAGACAGAACTATAGTTCCACCTCGGTACAGCTTCGTCGGTAAAATTGGCAATTAGCTTCCTTATATAGACGACACTTATCTTCGCGCCATTTCTCCGCGATATTTTTTTCTTTTGCCCTTAGATTACGGTAGCAAACCGAAAGCTTCATTTCCGTTCAAGCTCCCTTCCTATTTCTCCTTCACTCTCTGTCGAAGCAACAAGTCGCCCTGTTCAGCAATAATTTGCTGTTCAACACTGTGTGTAGGCTGCATTTCACCCCATTGCTATCCAGCCAGAAATGAACCATCACGTAACGTTTTGTTTTGTTATATACCACCTAGTAAATATCGGCGGCTATATTAGCAGCCTTGTTGCTATGTTTAGGATAGTTCGCGCACTCATTAGTAGCACTCGGCACTCGGTGCAAACTCGACTGTGACAGTTTGTCTCGAAGTCAAGCGGCACAGCCGACAAGGACAGCGTGCAAGCTGGACGGCGGTCATGCCATATCGTGGTCCGTAAAAAAAGAAGAGGCGAGAGAGGCCCGACAAAACGCGTTTTCTCTGTTTACGAGCGCGCCGCGGTCAACGCGCGGACGGCGGCGAGACGACCTCTACAGGACGGGACTGTGGGAAGGGGCACAAAATTAAAGCGCCCGCAGAACCAATACGACATACGCCTGTCGCCGGAACGCTCCAGCGTAGGCAGTCCTGGTGACATCAGTGTCGAAGCCAATTGTAGAAGCTGTGGCATGATTGAAGGGGAGAAAGCGACTGCGAAAAATCGCCTCGCGTGCGCGAGGTTGTAAACATTTACGACCTATTCATCTGGCAGGGTTGGTAGAGTCTGACAGCTTGGCGCCAAGTCGATCCTGCCTCTCCATTTCGCTTCTAGTCCAGAGCCATAGCGTTGCTGCGTAAGCTGTGAAGGGGAGAGGTTCTGCCGGAGGAATGAAGTGGGGAGGGAAAGTTTGTAGACGGGGAGTTTGATCTATACGGCGCGTAATATAAGCCACTCGCTTGACTGGCGTAGGTGTTAGCTTACGGTCCCTGGAGTCTATATAAGGAAACGCTGTATGGATTGGCGTTTATAACCCGCGCTGTGGTCCGAGAGCCTCGTTCGCTCGATGATGAGCTACTGTAAACCTAATTGGGCGTATACCGGAATATTGCGATAGCTCGCTGCCCCGCGGGGTGGTCTGACGCGCAATATCGCCTTCAAACGCCTAATCTGCGCGGTGGTTGCGGCGTGCGACGCGAAGTTTGTGAGGGGACGTATACTGACGCAAATGCCTTACGTGTTGGCGTGTGATGACATTTGCGGGCGTAGATGCAGGCGACCCAACAAGCCTGTCCAATATAGTGCGGAAACTCGCGTGGAAACTGCGTTTAATACGTGGTAATGTTTCCTATGTGAAACTCAGTTTAAGATATTCGTTCCGTTGCATAGTACCGGCAGGTTGCAACCGGTCAACTTACACAGAGGAGCGTTTTGAGTGGCATGATCGGTTGTGTGCTTGCTTTGTCTATCTCAACTATAGGCAACGCCTCTTTTTTAGAGGGGGGTGAGGTTAAGTGATATTTTCCTATATATACACATTACCACGATAGGATTATGAAGGATGCCTTAGAGGGTGTCTTCGGAAACTTTCACTATTTAGTAAATTCTTAACATGCACTGATAGCGCACTCTAAACGAGCCTTTAGCGTTTAGCGTCCATCGAAATGTGAGTATCGCAGCCGGTATTGAAACTAAACCTTCGGGTGCGCAGCCAAATACCGTAACCCCTGCACCACCCAGGCGGACAAAACTCCAGTACGAGACTACACTTGTGAACCACGTGTGATCGCTAGTAGACCCTCTGATAATAACCAAGTGGATTCAACGAGCAGTCAAGTGCCTTGGCATTGAGTCGCCCAATGCGAGTTTTTACTGTATTTGTAGTACTCGTCCCGAGATTCGGTATTTACAGATGGTATGCAAACGACGTCGTGGTATCTCTTAAGCTGGAGTATCATCGCGCTAAACCTCAAAACGGGGCTGAAATTTTCACCCTCAGTGTGATCTCTGCAGTCGGCACAAGGGAAAACTTCGAAACTGAATAATCATGTGGTATAGGCTTCGTTAACTAAAAAATTCGTTACTTTGCTTCCACATTTTACTTTTTTTTGTCATAAACGTGAACTTTCCGCCTTTTTAAATCAGGGGGAACATTTCATACTTGCGATTTAGCGTAAGTTATTTAGCTGTCGGCCATGTGAGCAAAACCACAGCTATAGGAACAAGGTCAATTATAATCATGGTTTAGTGAACATTCATAGTTCATTGCAGAATAAAAAGGAAGGAAAAAACAAAGTAAGAAAGTTATACGGCACAGACCATATAGGGGAAGAATAAGCGAAAGGAAAGAGCGTCAATTGCATGCCTCATTGGGGGCATGCCCACGCTCACTTTCTTCTGCTTGGTATCCTGCAGATCTGTCCAAAGCTAATAACTGCTGTCCGTTGAGCTTAAGTTCAAAACTATAGTTTATGAAGGATCTTGGTCCCGGGGCTGAGAAGTACTGCACCTCCCAGAATGGTGACTGCGTTATCGTCGCTGCTTTTGCGCGGCTCCTTGGGTAGCGTGAGCCTGTTGCGTTGCCACAAGAGTTCCGAAGTCTAGCCTTCTAGCTTCTTAAAACGGGTAAGCTTTTTGGCGTCCTTATTGGGTATTTTTATTTTTATAAAAAATAGACAATCTCCCGCTAATAGGAACCATGTGATGAGAAGCCGTGGGCGCTAACGCTTACACTGGCGGCGACGTTGACGCTGGCGCTCGTCGTGGCACGGCGCTGGAGAGAAACCTGGAGAGCCGCAAAGCACGCAGTGATGATCGCTGTTTCCTACTGGAACATGCCTATCGCTACTAATGGGCAATGAGAGACAAAAGACTCCGATTGAACACAAAGACCCACGGTCCGCTTTTAGTTAACGCGCACGCTGCGAATTTTTATTGTTCAGCAACGCACAGGATAAACTTCCCACCAGCACTACTTTGGAGGTGAAGATTCACTGCTTATATGTATACGGTGTGGCCAGTGAACCATTGTGCAGCGCGAGTAGTCTGTTTTCTTAGTAAAGAAACTCGCTAGCAGACGCTGCCTGCGTCGGCGACGTGAGGTGAGAGAGGGAAGCGAGCACAGGAGAAGAGAGAGAGGGGCGGGGGTGCGCATGCGAAGTAAGGGTGGTCACGCCGCACACCGGAGTTCGACCATACGAAACTTCGCATCTAAAACGAAACAAGACAGTATGCTTATCGTACACCATGTCAGGGTTGCGTAATTCAGTGTCACAGTTTTATTGTCTCGCCGTGAAGTCTCCTTCTTTTTTTTCTTCAGTTATTTCAACGTTTGGCGGTTAGTCACTTCTGGAGGTTCGCGCCGACTCTGTTGAGGTTCCGGACGCACTGGGCGAGGCAGGCGCTGTGCACGCTGCGGCATTTAGCGTAGCTGGACTTGCTGTCCGAAGTGCGGCCGCACTCGAACACCAGGGGCACGCAGGTTTCCACGTAGCAGCCTGCATCGAACGATAACGAAGGAGGTGCTCAAATGATGTATGAATAATAATAATAATAATAATAATAATAATAATAATAATAATAATAATAATAATAATAATAATAATAATAATAATAATAGGCAGTTTCCAAATAGGGGCCCCCCAAAACCCTTTGCGTGTGCTCTATTTGGGTCAAGCTCAGTTAAGTACAAGGCTTACGGAGCACAAGAGAGCATTAGTAAGTAATGTTTACTCTCACATCAGACGGCATTGCTTGGATTGTCGCTGCTCCCCGTTGTTCCCTGAAACTGAAATACTTCTTAGTCACAGGGATCAGGTGACCAGAGAAGTCATCGAAGCATTCTACATCGCTAAAGAAAAAAAATACCTGCAATAGCAAAGCATCTATTAGTTTAAGCGATTGTGAAGTGTACTTTTGGGAAGATATGCTGTAACTTGATCGTCACTATAACGCGTGGTACACTATCATGTTGCACTACAACAATGTTCTTTCCGCTAAATAAACTAGTCGCGAACGCAGCGGTGTCCCTTTCGTTCATTTTGTGCTTGTCTTCATGCGTTGCTTCATCAGTAAACATGAACTATCACCAACTTGCCCAACTTTCAACGTTACTCAAGTAATCAGTTATTGCGACGATGATCCACTTGCTTCCCGAGTAAGACAAAGGAAATGGCCCATGGAGGTCCATCCCAACCTGGTCAAATGGCTTGCGCGGTGGGTCAATGGGTTATAGGAGGCCTGCAGGCTTTAATGGTGCTATGGTGCTGACTTATGATGCTGACTTTCGCGGCCTCCTTTCACGTAGCTCTCGACGAAATCTCTGCAGTTTAGGCCACAGATATAGCTGTCCCACCCGGTACGGGATTCCGTGAGTATAGCCCAGATGGCCAGATGTCGGCTTGTCGTGGCAGGCTCATAGGATGTCATCGCGAAGGGTTTGAGGAACGACCTAGAAGATGAGATCTGCTGCCTGACACCGGTGTTTGTCTTGCATATATGCCGCCTCGTAAGCAAAATGACGGCAAAGTACGCGAAAGTAGACAAGGAATCGACGCGGTGCTGGCTTCTAAATGATCAATGATGGGCCTTAACTCGGGGTCCGTTCGTCGTTTACAGATGACGGTCCGCCCCACTGAGAATCCCGAGGAAGGCACTGTCGTCTTTGACAAGCTGTATGGTCGGAACCTCAGAGGTTCTCGTGATATATCGTGTTGGCGTTTTCATGCTTCCTACCTGGTGTTGTGAGCCGGAAAGCCTTGGCCAGCCAAAAAGGGCGAAGAGTACAATGACAAAGTGTCGGCTTGCACTTCGTTTTGGCTGGCCACAGCTTGCCGGCTCACAACACCAGGTGGGAATATAATTTTCACAAGATAAACGAATATTTCAGCTCAACTTTCTAAATTTCCATAACAAGCAAGACATCGCAACACAATAAAAAACGAAAATTGCAGAAATGAGTGGCTAGGCTGCTATTAACGTATTATTGCAGCCAGAGACAACTTAATCGTTAAACAGATCACGTTATATGCCGAGATGTTTCTTTTTCTAAATATTTATTGTGCTATCCGCTAAATCAGTCTAGTACCCAGGATGTCTACGTATTACTGCTTTTTTTTTTCGGCTGTAGTCTGAGGTCTACACGGGATGACTGGCTTCACACTTTTTTGGAATCCGTGGAAAGCCTGCGTTGTTTTTAAGACGCTGATCAGCTGTTTGATATGCTTATCCGTATTGATCCTCGGTAACTGTGCACTCGCCGTACTTACCAGCCGCAGAAACCACAAGGGCGCAGAGAGGTAGATCCAGTTCGAAGCTGGGCTCTGCTGACGCCATCAAATGCAGTCACGGTGGCAGCGGGAAAAAGGGACACACATCACGAATCATCTCGAAAATCACCTCAAAAGGCATCTCAGATAATTTATTAACAACAGCTTTTCTAACTTTTTATTATGCTGAAAACCCCAGATGAACTATCGTAACTTCAGTGAGTTCTCTTCAGTATTACTTAATAATGTGTTATTTTATCACCGCGGGTCAGCTCAGTCATATCAAGCGTTATCTTATCACTTATGCTACGTTGTGTTTGACACCTCATACGTAGTATTCGAGTGGAGACAACCAAACTTCTGTTCTAGTTATAATAACGCTTTTTGATGTTCAGGCGTGATCTTTCAGTACAGCGGAAAACCTGTTCAATAAATTGTTAAAATACAAATCAACTTCAACTCATGAAACAGTACATTGTTCTTGTGTGTACGATTTAATTCGGGGGAGGGGGGGCAAAAATCGTACTCTAAAGTGTTTTGTTGGCCTTAATTGATGTAAAATAGTGTTGGGCGTCGAAGGATTCAGAGATACCTTTAGAAAGAAAGGAAGGATTGGAGAATAAAAATGTCAGCCTGAGCGAATACTAAACGTTTTGTCATTTGTGACTGTTGCAAGAAGTGGGGCTACAGCCTAAACAGTGCAAGAAAAAATAACAACAGAAGTTAGGCGCACATACAGTGTTATGCATACGAAAGAGATTGGCTTACGAATAGCTTCTGAACAGCCTGGCCGTTTTCACTAGTACGAGTGCGTAGCAAAGTACTAGCTGACCTTGTCTCTGTTAGATTATTAAGAAATAACTCTCACGTGCTCTTTAATACTAAAATATTGATTTGGTTACTGAGGGTGGCGTGTTAGTAAGCCCCGCACTGATTTCTGACCGACTTGGCATTTTTCCGTGTGCTACCGGGCCACCGTTTTTCCCCATCTTTCCACAACATCCCCGTGAAACTATACAAGGCCGCCAATGCCGGTATCGAACCTATGACCTAGTCCACAGCAACTCATTGCTAGTGGATAACGAAGTCCTCAAAGTTTGCGAAAATGACTTCGCTTGGATGTCGTTTTGACTTTTTGTAGCTGCTATTAACCCTGTGAACATTGCTTCATGCAGACACTTTGCACGGTTAATTATGCTGCCATTCTCGTCCCCCTTGAGGAATCATGTTACCTGTATTCGTCTTTCAAAGCCGTTCAATGGCTTCTTCTACGCGACAAACTACGCCCTGCGCCTTCAACTGGGATCCCTCCTCGCTACTGCCCCGCTAATTGAACCTAATTAACTAATTATTGCGAAAGCACAGATACAAGTGGAATGAGATGTGTGATTCTTGCTCGCGACTTGACTTTTTCGCAGCATATTATGCGTCTTTTCCAACTTGCTCTGTAATCCATTTTATCCGGACTAATTAACGTCTCGTAGCGAGTGAGAATCGGTGTATGGTTCCCTGTATGTCTTGGACAGATGACAAAAGCATTTTCGACCGCCCCTTCTGATTCCGCCACCACATTCATCGAAGTAATTTTACGCCGTGTTATTCTTTCTTTTCTTTTTGTACACTGTCGCTAGTCACCTGTTTCTAGTGACCTGCGGGTGTTTTATTCAAATCTCTTGGGATTTCCTGCTAATCCAAGTGCGTTTTTTTGCGGCAACACAATAAACTTGATCGTTATATGAACCGTACATTCAAATAAATAAATTGTGAATATTTGTGCGTCCAAACCGCGATATGATAAACACGTGGTTCAGTTAGAGGGTTCCTTAATGAAATTTGAACACTGGAAGTCACCAGGTGCGCCTAAACTAGACGTCGTCATTATCACCGTCAGCCTCATTACCCCCCACTTCAGGGCAAAGGCCTCTCCTGTGACCCGCCTATCAACCTGGTTCCGTGCTTTCCGCATCCACGTTATTATAGCTGCAGACTTCTAGATTTAATTTTCTGCCTCCTTCTAACGTGTTTTCCTTTTCTGGGAATCCATTCAGTTACCCCTAATAACCCGCGGTAATCCTGCCTAAACTAAACATGCCCGCACCTAAATTGTGCACCTATATGTAAGCCCGGCAGCGCATGCTCGCGGTTCGTTGTAATCGAAATGTCATTCGGAACTGGAATTGAACCATTTACCTCGCGCTGTGCCAGCACTGTGCCATTTACGTTGTGCCGCCACTGCACAAGCAAGCAGCGTATGCGTGGGAGAGATCTGTCTTCTATTTACGGTGTTTTCTATTGCTCTCTCTTTTTTTTTTTTTGAATCTGTGACAAATGCGTTTTACCAAGCAAGAACCACTAGCTGAGACCAGGCATGATTTTAAACTCTCCTATAAACACGCACTTACTTTCACGCAACGATTCGACAGATTACCAAGCCAACAGAATTATTTGACGTTAGCGAAATCAGCGACCTTAGCCAACACCCTTAATCAAAGCCTGTTGTACGCTAGACCACCTTTTTTTCTTTTTTTTTCTGGTGTGATCAAACACAATAACAATGTCACGCTCCTAGTATTTGTATGGGAACATAGAGGACGAGGACTTTTCTTGTTAACCATGAGACTGCGTGGAATCGAAAGAGCCATTTACCATTGTTCCTCTTACCAGCGTCCTTCGCATTGGCTCGCTTGGACCACCACGCTGAAAAAAAAGCAGGAAATGTTATTAAAAATAAGCAACATAATAGCGTATTTTTTGCTTCGTGCGTGACATAAACAAGCCCAAAGTTTTCTTTATTTTTTCACTTTTTGAGCGCACTTGCTTACACGTATTTCACACTTTGAGCACTTTATGAATTATGATGTTATCTAGGAAGCCGCAAAGATAGTAGACTTCAGCGATAATGTCGGCGCTGGCAAGCTCGTATGCTGCGACAGCAGCATCGTTGCATCGTGACGACCTCCCCACTAAGCTTAGCACGTGTGCTCGAAGTGAGACATTGCAAGAGAAAAGATCTGGGCATTCACCTGCCAGTGTCCAAACCCTCTTGATTTAGCAAATTGCACTTGCCTGCCCGTTGCGTTCATCGAATAATTGCTCTCGTCAACCTCTATTTCCTAGAACTTTCAGTCGCGGGGAGAAAAAAGATGGGAGACAGGAAAGAGCAGCTGTGCTCTTGTGGTCTCGCTTCTTTTTATTTATTTTTTTTCTGATTATGCAGCAAGTCAAGTTTTCAAGTATGAACTAACCAGTCTGCCAAAAAAGTGTTTCACCAGGAAGTTTCGTCCCGCTAGGCATTCTTTTCATCGCCTCATGGAGACGTCGGACTTCGTGGACGGGTCTTCCTTGAAGATACAGGACGCCATTCTTTCATCTCATATTTTCTTTCGTTTCTATTGTTTTTATTACGTTTTGTGCCGCGATTGTAATACGAGCGTAATACGAGAGCCGCGCGTAACACGGGCGTCGCACGGCCACATTTCGATCGCTATTCAGCTCGATTCAGTTGAATACTACAAAACTCTAGTTGACTACCTTATATGCCTAATGAATGAGCTCGACGTGACGGAAAAAGTTTATCCCTAACTGGCTCGATAGGGATCAAAAGCGAAAAAATATTTTCATACCTGTAAATGGGAAAAACAGTGTAAAAGAAGACGATGCTAATTTGTGACCGACTGTAAATATATATCTCACTGGTTCAACGAGTCGATGCACTTTGCTTCATAATTAAATATCAAGAACGTAAGAATAAAATCGATGCTTCTAAGCGTGACCGGAGCAACCAGGTTTTGCTCGTATTTTCATTTAAAAAAATTGAAATAAAGCGAAAAATAAAGCAACGCCAGTACTCTGAAGCGTGAGCGCTGCTGATATATGCGGGTGGTGAATGGCTTTCCCGCAAGGCCTTTGATCCCAAGATGGCGTACCTTGGCGCAACTCTGCTACCTAAAGGCACCGTATACAGGTAGCTCTAGGTATCAGCTTCGACGAACCTTCCCACCCCCCCCCCCTGACGGGAAACCCTACGCACGTCTGTGCTCTACAAAACAAGTGTTCCGCAGACTCAAGGCGAGTAATTAACAAACATGGCCGATTACTCACTGTTTCGTTTCTCGGGTTCCTTCCACGTGGAACCGGAGGAAGAGAGGGCCGCCATTTCGTCCTCCAGAAGAGCTGCGAAAAAAAATTTTTTTTTTTCTATTTCAGATGCTCATTGGCGGTTGCGTTTCTTTGGTTGATCGTGTTTTGTTTCGCCTAGATACGTCTTTTTATCGCGTTTTTGCTCGCCTGTGTGTTAGCTTGCCTCTTTCGTAGTTTCTTTCTTGCATCTTTTTTTTTCTTCTAGCAATTATATTAGACGAAAAATAGAAACACATTAAAATGAAACGGGAATGTGGAATTCTTTCCATGAATCTCTTTTTTTTCTCTCATAATGAACCAAGTAACTCACCAATCAAGCCTCGCTTGTTTGAAACATACAAATAGAACGTCGATCAGGTCTGGTGCCTAAGTAAGACTGTGGCCACAATATATTCAATACAAGACTCGTTCGTAACGCATAGCACTGAAGCTTCATAGAACTGGGTCAACGACTTAAGTGCTGACGTTTTACAACTCGAAAACACTCATAAGAGCCCCGCCGCGGATGGTCTAGTGGCTAAGGTACTCGGCTGCTGAACCGCTAGGTCGCGGGATCGAATCCCGGCTTGCGGCGGCTGCACTTCCGATGGTAGCGGAAATGGTGTACGCTCGTGTGCTCAGATTTGGGCGCACGTTAAAAACACCAGGTGGTCAAAATTTCCGGAGCCCTCTACTACGGCGTCTCTCATAATCATATGGTAGTTTTGGGACGTGAAACCGCACATATCAATCAATCGAACCACGATAAGATTATGAGGCAAGCCTTTAAGGAGGGCTTCGGAAATTCGGACTACCTGGGGTCAACATGCACCAAAATTCAAGTACGTGGGGCCTCTAGGATTTAACCTCCACCTAATGTCACCGCAGTAGGTGGGATTGAACCTGCGACCTTTTGATTCAGCCCTGCCGAGCACTGTAAGCACTGAACCAACGCGGCCACCTTGTAATAGTTCGACCTGTACGCGCCTTTTTAACCTATAGCCTCTGAAGTTTTCCATCATTACTACCAACTCTGTACTGTTTAGATGTACGGGTAGTGCTGCTTGGTACTAATAAAGATGATAGTCTTTCTTGGGGACCTTCGACGCAAAAATTTTGGTCTGTCTGTCTGTCTGTCTGTCTGTCTGTCTGTCTGTCTGTCTGTCTGTCTGTCTGTCTGTCTGTCTGTCTGTCTGTATGTATGTATGTATGTATGTATGTATGTATGTATGTATGTATGTATGTATGTATGTATGTATGTATTAATTTATGTACGTATGTATGTATGTATGTACATTTGTCTGTTTGTCCACTCTTAACGGCCTCCGCAGCGCCCACCTATGTTGCTCAAGATTGAGCGTTCATGCTTGTGCAATTGTCAATTAAAAAGCAATTATTGCGCATGTCTGGGGCACCATAACAACACGTATATATTTTGCATGTGCGTCTCTTACTAGAAAAGGCATACATGGGTAATTTTAAGGACGGTAGCACTTATCACGCAGCCCTGACTATGCAACGCTTGCACGGAAAGGCGAGTGTTTCCAACGCTTTGCTAAAACGAAACGGTGGTGGCACCTACCCGTCGCCTTGCGTTCTACACCTTATCACCTCTGAGATGGGCGCGCACACCCGTCTCAGAGCCACGCGTTTTCTTTTTTAAGACAACTGCCAGATCGCGCTTATGTCTCACGTGTGACGTGACTTGATGCGCTCGTTCGCCTCCGCTGTACGCTCGAGGCACTCTAACGCAGCGCCTCCAGAATACTATTCACCGATTTTCTTGTGCAGAACATCAAATAAATGTCTTGTTCACTTTCTCCACACGCAGGACTATCGTCTTTCGACGACATTTTCAGATTACATGCAGATACGGGGCCAATTTATTATTATTATTATTATTATTATTATTATTATTATTATTATTATTATTATTATTATTATTATTATTATTATTATTATTATTATTATTATTATTATTATTATTATTATTATTATTATTGCGGCAGCCTATTACCGTTGGCTAGGATGAATTCCAGGGCCATCAGCACCACGGTCATCGCCTGCAGAGTTTTTCGGCCATTGGCTGGCAGCTGGACGTTTCCCATCGTAGTGGTGGCACCTTCAATAATGCATGAGTACACATAAAAAATGTATGCGGTTGCGTCCCATATTAAATCTGCAGTAAGTACGGAGCAGCATTTCGCCTGCCCTTCGGCGATGCTCACGTTCACGAGCAACCAAGCGCTGGAATTCTTAACGTGCATCTGCGTGGCGTCCGTGGAAGGAAAGGGAACCTTCATTTGTGACCTAGTAGAGCACTCTCCCCTCCTCCTCTCTTATCTCGCCTCACACCCGCTTCCCTTTGCACCCTTTGTTATACTGTACTGTGTAAGCGTGCGTCATGCTTTACCTCTCCCCTTGTCCTCCTCGCCATGACTTCTCTTCCTTATTGCTCACTATGCTATAGTACACTATACTATACTATACCATACTACGTTATACTATACACGCGGATGTTACGCTTTATCCTCCCACTCTTCTTTTTTCTCCTCCTCATCCTCAGTTCTCTTTCACACACTCTTGCTATACTCTACTATGCATGGCTTTGCTAAACATCGTTTCGCCTGCGTGACGACATGCATGGCTATGCTATCTTTTACCTTTTCCCCTCCTGAATTACCTTCTCCTCGCCACTCCTCCGCACTCTCACTTTCCTTTACCGCCCCCTTGCTATACTAAAACACATGTGACTATTCCATACATGGCTGTACTATATATACATCAGGGGTCTCCCACTCGCTACAGCTGGTGGGCTGCTCTCATGCAACTCCGTCCCCCAAAAGCCGGGATGGTGGAGAAGGTCGAAGGGGCTGAGGTTTCACACGAAGAGTCCCCTGTCAGTACCATTCGAAAGGATGCATTTCCCGTTTTTCGTGTAGGAATCGTTACGGAAAGGGATCGGGCCTCCGTACTGGAGAAACATATCAATATTGATCACCATAATGACTCAAACTTGGCCACCAATTTTGAAACGTGCAGTTTTCATTCCGCTGTTATGTTTCTTTACATGGTAATCTCGTGGGGTACCTCAAGAAAAAAAAATTGTTCGAGATCAGTCCCGTCTCTTCAGCTTACTCCAACAAAACGTTATTTGTACAAAATACAATGAAAGAATGCGAGTACAATTTAACAATCACAGTGAAATATTTGATTCCTAGTGAAGCCGCGGGCCGCTAACGTAACGCTCATGGACAGCGTGTTTTAGACGACTGCTACAAATGGGTTTGTCCGCGTGACGCCAAGTGACGAGATGCGATGACAACAGATGGCATGGCATACCATGATATGACAGCCTGCAAGGTCTCTAAAACGTTCCGCTCTTAAAAGTGAGGCAAGGAGTTGGACATCGGACGCGGCTGCGTGCGCTTGAAATTCACTTATTTCGACGTCAGAAATAACAGAAGATAGCGCGTCTCGTTTATCCAGATCATAATAGTAATATTGGCTGGAGTTTTACGTCCCAAAATCACGATGTGATTGTGAGAGATGCCATATAGGGGAGGACTCCGGAAATTTGGACCATCTAGTTTTCTTTTATGTGCGCTGACACCACACAGTACTCAGGCGTCTACCGTTTTGCTTTCATCGAAATGAGAACTGCCACGACTGGGATCGAACCCGCTACCTCCGGGTCAGCAGCTGAGCACCAGGTCGCACTGCATACTTTTCAAGACATGTTTTCCCTGTTTTAACGTACATTAAATGCTATGAGCTAACAATTAAAGCTTTCCTTTAAGACTTCGATTTGTATTCGAATGATTGCACCGAAAAGGCCGAGCTTGGAAGGGTTGGAGATGATCTTAAGAGTGAAAATTAATAGATATCAAGAGTGATGCCTACAATTGTGCGGCGAGTTGTCACATCGTTTTCTGTTGCGTCAGACGTTAATTGGCAGATTACTTAGGAGTGCAACCACAAATATCCGCATCACTAGACTTAACCAAGCACGTTTCGCGTACTTCTTACAATATTTATCTGAAGCATATCATGCTCTAGTGGAGCCCACAAATTTTCTTATTTGTATTTTAACCTTTGTTCCCCGCTGATTGGCCCTGGCGTGGGCTGTTATTTCCTCGGCCCTCATTTCATTGTTTTTAAGTATTTGGCTCTCGCCTATCATACATTTCTGCGAGGAGACGTACACTTATATCGCTTAGTCTAAACTGTAATGTTACTTTAACACATATACCAAGCCCATGCTGTGTAATAATGACGCCTCTAGAACTTGCCTTTCATCGTTGATAACTTTCTTTTGTGTTTGGATCTTACGTGTCATCACACAGTACTTCTATCTATCAATCAATCTATCAATCAATCGATCGATCGATCGAGTGAGCAAGTGAGTGAGCAATTAACTAATTGTTTAATCATTAATCAATTAATCATTAAATAATTTGTGAATGATTGTATATTTATTTATTTATTTATTTATTTATTTATTTATTTATTTATTTATTTATTTATTTATTTATTTGAACATAACATTATGTGTAACTCATTTTGTAGCACACTCTATTAGTATGCGGGAACTGGGGGCCGTTTTCGCCACCGATAAGTTGCAAGAGAAATTCTTCCTTTTTTCGTCGAGGTTTATTACAGTCTTCGTCGTTATCTAAATCATTTTAGCTTTGCATTCACCAATTAACCACCAAGTTTAGTCTTGCACGTAGTTAAAACGAGGATCAGTACATAAAGAACGTATGCAAGTGTTGCAATTTGCATGCGTGTTCGGCCGTAGAAAAATTTGATATAACATAAAACACAATTACTTATCTCTGAGCATATAATAGGTTCCATGTGAGTGGTCATAAGCCCTGTCATAAATCCAGCTTGGCAATCTAAAACGAAGTCTGAAGCTTGAAATCTGAAATCTGAACGGAATGTGCAGCTTTATGTCCGGTTACATTCGAGCCATACGCCGAACACTTGCGCAGCGTTCTTATAACACCGCCAACGCTAAAACTGCGCTATCGCTCGGAGTCTGAAGGATGCGATGTATTACAATTGCAGCATCCCAGATAGTTTACGGCTCGCAGAATCGTGCCTCGGAAAAAAGCGCGCGAAGTACGAAGGAGGTCGGGGGGAACTTATGAGAAGATGGCAAGCCGAGAGCAAGAATAAAATCGTGAAACCGTGCCTGCGGGTGATAGGAATTTTCTAACGGCGAAGCTTCATGAATTAACCGAGAGTTGGAATGTTTTATGGGACACTTGTAGGTAAAAATGTCTGATATTATCGTTGCCTGCTAATCACTGATCGAACACGTCCTACCTACTTCACTGTATGGGTTGACTGCATTTACCTGCATTAACGATAAGTGTGAAGAAGTGGTAAAACTCTCAGCTTCAGGAAGGCGTTTGGGCACGGTCCTTACTACGCTGCCGACGATGATGCATGAAGTGCAAGTATCCTTTTAAAACTGTCTATTTTTTATTTGAAAACCTGGTGTTAACTAACATGGAATTGAAGCAAGAGCTAGTCTGTACATTTAATCCTAAATGTTACGTTACAGCATTACGCCAAACATGATTGCAATGCAGCAGCGCAGCTCCTAAATCAGCGCAAAATGGACACGCCACGTAATCGGTCAAAACTATGGCTCTGGACTTCAGAAAGATGAGTGTCATTCACTGCATTTTACACCGCCCAGCCTTGTACGCAAAGTCAACTATAAATATTTAACGACTTGTGCACTACCCCCTCCTACGCGTACGAACATTACGGCGAGACGCTAATGTCAGGCTGTGATAGCCATGCAGCATTTCATTATCATAATTCTCATGCTCGCAAATACCCCTTGCAACAGTTTACCGTTTACTACAGCTCGGGTAATAGTTCAGCATTTTCTAAACAAGGCCTTCCCTTTTCCACATACGGCCCATCAACTACGCACCACAAAACGACAACGCCTGAAACCTTAAGAAAGGCCAAAATCCAATATGCCTATACTCTTATCACTTGCTTTCTGTGTAGCTTGAAGCAAAATCGTGCACCCGAGGATCTTTAAGCCTAACGTTATATATAACTAAGGCTGTGCAAACTCACCGAAGTGTTCCCACGAACCTCCAAGAAAGCGGAGACCAGACCTCGCCGCACTTCGACGTCAACTCGTGCAGCTGGTCGACGACGTTCGTCACACGTTTCTCAGATTACTGCCTGGCCGACCAGAAACCTCGCACCTTATATAACCGTCTTTTGTGAAGCCCTGCCCCACTCACTTCTCCCCTATCTGCCTCATCCACGGCTTCCATCCACCTACAGACGGTGACCCTATGGGATTCCTGGTAAGCTGTATACCAAGAATCAAGAGGCGTATCCAAATGAGCAATGCAGCTCGTTACGCATTCAAGCAGACGTCACGCAAGAGAAACAAAGCCGCCATGGCCCCACGCTATAAAGTCAGACCTTGGCTACTATGCATTGGCGCGACTCCGACTAAGCCGACCAACGGTCAGCGATAGGCTTAGCGGAGCTTAAGAATGCCTCAACCATTTCGTGCCCGATACAACAGGACAGCCAAGTGGCTCTACTACGGGGATTGGCGGGCGAAGGGGTCACGAGTTCAGCGCGAAAATGTAGTGCACTGGTTACTTCCTGCGTGACACCTTGCAACAACAACGGTCTAAGCCCTTTTCGTGGGCGTACGCAAAGTGGGTTCGAGATCGTGGTTTGGTTTCTTTCGGCCCGCGTGAAAGAATGCGTCTGGAGTTGATTCCAAACAGGAGTTTATCTTGTTGGGAGATGCAACCCAACAGACCGGGAGGGTCACCGTCGTTGCCTGGCTTTGAGGTCCCGCGATAAAAGTACTCTTTTAATTGGCTGTGCAGACCAGTAGCCTACCATGGAACACTTATAATAGTGTTATAATTAGGAACGTGATTAGAATTTCATCTGAGGGCTATCTTAAGCAACCTCGCCGTAACAGAAGTCTTTCGAAAAAAAAGGAAAATGCATCGGAAATAAGTTTCATATGTCAGACACCTGAAAACTGACGGAGGGTGTACACATGAAGATTTTCTTTTATTTGAAACGCTACCCACAGCGACTATACTGA